TCATAAGGTTCCTTGCGTGGTTGTTACCTAGCTACCTTTTGTTCTTCCTTCCTACACATTATTTATTGGTAGAGTTAGAGCATGCATCATGAATTTTGATATTCCTCATAGACTGTAATCACCTTTAAAGGTATTAAAGTCCTTATTATTCCTTGTTATATGATCTGATTTTATGCCTATCTTTTTCCACACTGGGTTATCCTAAAAGGTCAAGAATGTGTCTTTATTTATGTAGTATGTACAGAGATGAGTAATTACTCTGAAAAATAAAAAGCATTGACTCAATAAATGAATGAAGATTGTTATAGTAATCTTATTGTATTGTTATTGTTTACTAATCACAAAGCTCTTCAGTAGTTTTTATTTTGTGCTTACCATTGTCATATTCTTTTTTATGTGTTTTTTTTTTTAAAGAATTATTTATTTGATGATTGGCAGGTGGTATGGCGGTTAAGGCGGCTGGCCTCCCACATGGCTGACCACGATGCAAGTTTCAGACCTGACAGCTTGCTTTCTCATTTCCTTCTCTCTCTGTTTTTCTTGGATCAACTTCAAAAAAAAAAATGACATTGAATAAAATTAATTCTTTTTTTAAAGAATTATTTTATTATTTTTTATTATTATCATTTGTAATTTGCTACAGGACATGTGTGCTCACTAGAGAGAGACAGAGAGAGAGGGAAAGTGAGAAAGCAAGCTGCCAGGTCCAGGATTCAAACCATGGTTGGCCATGTAGAAGTCCAATAACTTAACCACCACACTACCTGATAGCCCTTTTTATGCTATCTATTTATGAACTAAAATAAATCTTTTTTTGTTTAAAGAGTTTCTTTTTGTCCTTTTTTCTTTTTCTTTTTGAGAGATTTTTGCTGTAGGGTGCTTGTGCTCACCAGAGAGACAGAGACAAAAAGTGAGAAATCTCCTGCTCAGGAAGGATGGCCAAGCTACAATCCATTCTTCTCCATTCTCCTCTTAGGATCTTGGGCATGCACACACACACACACACACACACACACACACACATGCATCCAGTGGGGTTTTAAGCCACTGGGTCCAGGACTTGAACCATGGTTGACTACATGGGAGTCCAATTATGTAACCACTGTATCATCTGTGGTCTCTAAAATAAAACTTTTACAGAGGAGATTAACATAAGCTCGTGTTCAGAAACTAAGTTTGCCATTAAAAAATTGTGTGGGGGAGTGTCCAGCAGATGATATAGCAGTTACATCACTGGACTTCCACATGGCCAACTGCGGTTCGAGTCCCAGACTCACTGACTTAAAACTCATGCTGGGTACCTGTGCGTGCATGCTCAAAATCCTAGAAAGATAATGAAGGACAATGGATTGTAGCATGGCCATCCCCCTGGGAGGTGCTTTCTCACTTTCTCTCTTACTGTCTCTGTCTCTCTCTTTGGCCAGTTCATGTGCCCTAAGGCAAAAGTCTCTCAAAAAAAAAAAAAAAAGTTGTGAGGGTCCAGCTGGTAGCATGGTGGTTAAGGTGGCTGGATCCCACAAGGTTAATTATGTAGTTTGAGACCCTGACCAAGTGGTTTGAAAAACATGCCAGGTGCATGTATGTGTGTGTGCTCAAAATTCCAAAAGGAGGAAGGAAGGGAAGAAAGTGAATTGCTGTGTGGCCAGTTCCCATCAAGGATGCTTTCTCAGTTTTTCTGTCTCTCTCTGGTGAGCACATGTACTCTCTAGCAAATTTTTAAAAAAGCCATGTGAATGTAAACACAATTTTTAATTTTTTGTTTTTAATTTCCTTAATCTGAAAAGGTATCTTTAAGGTCAGATACAATTCTGAAATTCTCTGATAGTTTTTTTTTTTTTTTGAGAGGTTTTCGCTATAGGGCGCGTGTGCTCGCCAGCCAGACAGAGACAGCAGAGAGACAGAAAGCGAGAAATCACCCCCCGGGGGGATGGTCACGCCACAATCCCTTCTCTTCCATTCTCTTCTCAGGATCTTGGGCACATACGCACAAGCGCCCGGCGTGAGTTTTAAGCCACTGGGTCTGGGACAAGAACCGTGGTCAACTACGTGGGAGTCCAGTGACATAGCTATTACGCTAACTGCTGGTCCCAGATGATAGTTTTGAAAGCGTAAAATGTGGTTTTGATAACAGAGTCTGTCTGTATGTGTATGTTTATATATATGTATATATGAATACATGTGCGCACACGAATGTGTTTGTGCCACAGGGCACATATGGTCTCCAGAGAGAGGCAGAGAGACACGGGGTAGGGTATATGTGTAACATCCCTCAATAGGGCATGGTCACACCACAATCTCTTCTTCATTTCTATCCTGTCAGGATTTGGGACACACATGCACTTGCAACTGAAGTGGTTTGTTTGTTTGTTTTTTTTTTATTTATTTTTTTGGAGAGTTTTGTTGTGTTTTTTTTTTTTTTTTTTTTGTTTAAGGGGGCGGTTGTCGGCAAGAAACAGAGAGACATAGAGACAGGAAGCGAGAAATCACCCCCCAGGGGGGATGGTCACACCACAACCCTTCTCCTCTATTCTCCTCTCGGGATCTTGGGCACGCATGCACATGCGCCCAGCATGAGTTTTAAGCCACCGGGTCCAGGACGCGAACCTCTGTCAACTACGTGGGAGTCCAGCGACATAGCCATTACCCTAACTGCTGGTTCCCTGTTTGTTTTTGTAGAGAGAGATTTTTGCTATAGGGCATGTGTGCTCACCAGAGAGAGAGAAAGTGAGAAATCACACCCCGGGGCATGGCCATGCTGCAATCCCTAGTTATCCATTCTCCTTTTGGAATCTTGGGCATGCATGCATATGCACCTGGAGGAAGTTTTAAGGCCCCAAGTCTAGGACTCGAACCACAGTCCAACAACATAACCATTAGGCCATGTGCTGGTCCCTCAACTGGAGTGTTTTTCAAGCCACTAGTGATGGCATTCGAACCATGATCAACCATGTGGGATCTGGCTCCCTGAACAACTAGGTCACAGGGTTGGCCCACTATTTATATTTTTGAAAGTAATGTATAAGATTTTAATTTGTACCTAAAAGTATTTTGGCTATATTTTTACATAAATATACACAGTGCTGTGATTTTATTTTATTTTTTAGAAATTCTTAGTAAACAGGGGCTAGCAAGTGGCGTACTGGTTACATCGCTTGACTTCCACATAGTCAAGCACAATTTGAGTCCTGGACCCAGTGGCTTGGAACTCACATGGGAGCATGTGTGTACATGCCCCAAATCCCAGGAGGATAATGTAGGAAAAGTGATTGCACTGTGACAATCCTCCCCAGGGTGATTTCTTGTTTTCTGTCTCTCTGTTGATCAAATGTGCCCTATAGCAAAAATCTCTCAAAAAAAAGAAAGAAAAAGAAATGTTTAAGAAACATATTTGGTATACAATCGATTAATATGTTTTACTAAACTTTTTTTTGAGTATGTTTGGATATATCTCATCAGCAATTTAATTTAATGTATGAATGAACTGGAGCTTTGGGATTTTAAAACCATGTCTACATTTTTGCTGCCAGTAAGACCACTTTCTTAACTGCGATTTACATTGATGCAGTTATTAACCACAACTGAAAAGGACTTATCAGAGTCTGGCAGCAGGAACTCACTTAATTTCTCAATCACTTCCTTGATATTTACCCTATATGAAGGAGCTCATATATTAGAGAAATCTCTAAATTGGTACATATATATATTTTTTTCTTTTAATCAGCTCAATGTTGAGTAATAATTTTTATTCGCTAATTATTACCAGAAATCAGTTTTACTTTTACTATACACCACATACACATTGCCTTTCTTTGTGTGATGTTAACCAGCATGTGTAGATTGCTTTCCCAAGCACAGCTACTTTTGTAAGGCAGTACTATGGCTCTCTTATTCCTGTTGTGTTGCCACATAACCCTTGACTCAACATACACGCACTGTGTCACACAATGAAAGAGAGCATTATCATATTCGATGCTAGTGGCATTATTCCCATTAGACAGATGAGAAATGAATCAGATTAATTAAGAAATATTTTACAAGGTCATAGAGTTAGTAAGCAATTGCACTAAGATTTACGTCACATATTCTGATTTAAGAGCCATTATCTTTTCAATTACTTCAGACCGCTGCTTCTATTAAAGTTGTGCAAGTTTTTAGAGCTAACTTATCAAGTCATGCTTTTTTCTGAAGATTTTATTTTGAATACTTTATGCTTTATTGCCAACAATTTTATGATGTTTAGAACCGTAAGAGTCTTAACCTTTCTCTGCATGGAAAGCACCAAAAGAGTTATTGCATAACTTGCCACAAATTTTAATGTGCATCTATAGAGAATTAGGGTCCCCGTAAACTTTCCTGGGCACTCCCCAGAGAATTTTGTAGGATATTGTTTCCCAAGGCTCTTTAGAATTTCTATGAAGTTAGGAACTTTTAAAATTTTTTTTCCTTTTTCTTTTCTTTTCTTTTCTTTTCTTTTCTTTTCTTTTCTTTTCTTTTCTTTTCTTTTCTTTTCTTTTCCTTTCTTTTCCTTTCTTTTCTTTTCTTTTCTTTTCTTTTCTTTTCTTTTCTTTTCTTTTCTTTTCTTTTCTTTTCTTTTCTTTTCTTTTCTTTTCTTTTCTTTTCTTTTCTTTTCTTTTCTTTTCCTTTCTTTTCCTTTCTTTCTTTCTTTCTTTCTTTCTTTCTTTCTTTCTTTCTTTCTTTCTTTCTTTCTTTCTTTCTTTTTTGCTGCTTAGGCAAGTATATTATCTGCAGGCTCTACTTTCTGAAGTCCCAGGAAAGAAAATGTTGGTGATGGAAACTTTCTCTAGGGATTTCATCAATAGAAAGCAAGCTCACTTATCACAAACAAGCCATTTTTAAGAGAGCAACAATTTTGTTGACTACATTTAAAGACAGAAACAAACAGTTCCCAAATGCAATTTCAATTTTCCAAAGGACAGTTTTGTTCTTTTTCCGAAATGCCTTTGTGATTATTTTTTGTTGTTTTGTTTTGCTTTGCTTAGAAGAACTGCTTAGTGTGCCTCTTTAGTCAACATGAAAAAGAAGAAAAGAACAACCACTGGAATGATCCTCTGATGGCCTCAAGGCAATGGATTGTGGATGTCTCTTAAGTACAAGCAGGTACTCTAGGTAATACTGATAAAGACTTTTTAAATCAGGCTCAAATACTCTTCAAACACTGACCCAGTGAGGTTGATTCAGATTAAATGTTTTCTTTCTTTTTTTTTTTTTTCCTAGAGAATGTCTCTTTTTTTTTACTGATTTTAAGAAATCTCTTTAAAAGTATTGAAATCCCAGTAAAAAATTGGTCATCTTTTATATTAAGAACTGGATTAAATTTACTTATAGCAGGAAGTCTTGTGCTCGATTACATTTAGTGTATGAATTTCTTTTGAAAACTGTCATTAAAAACTATTGATGCTATACTTCTCAAACTTGTGCTATTAGGCTTCAGGAGATATATAGAACTATATATAGGTATATGTATATAATTATATATATACTAACAAACACATGTATATGTGTATAAATTTTCCATGTTTTGTTGTTTTTTGTTGTTGATAGAGGAAATAGGAATTTGGCACTGAAGCCAGGAATTATAGCAACTACACTAGGACATTGTATATTGTTTTGGCTACTTGTATCTTTCATGTATTTCTTGTAGGTAGTTTATAAATGCTTCAAATATGTGTAATGTCTTGGAAACTGTAATTTTTCTGCTAATTTATAATAATTTCATAAACTGTACCATTTTAAACCTATATCTGCAAAACTTATATACTAAACTTGCAAAACAAAAAATATTTTAGGGTAGTCACTGAGTGAAAAAGAAAGTGAAGGGATAGGATTAGGCTTTATATATATATTATATACATATATAGTAATATATATTATATACATTTTAACTTAATTTTATTTTATTTTTAGACAGGGAAGGGTCTCACTAGACTGTGAGCTTTTCCAGGGAATATACTCTATGTCATTTAAGTCTGTATCCCCAACACTGAATCTGGTGACTGAACCTTATTACATACTTAGTAAAGTTTTGTTGAATAACTGAATTAAAGACAATTACACCATAAGATGTGTTTGTTTACAGGTCAGCATGCTAAGGTCAGACCTGGCTCATGGCTTGTTTTTGTATGCCTTGCAAGTCAAAATGTTTTTACGTTTTTTAAAGGATTGTAAAAATAATAAAGAATATGTATGGTCCGGAAAGCCTAAAATATTTATGATCTATCCCTTTACAGAAAAATGTTTGAAGACTTACCTTAATTCTTAAATACATACCTGTTTTTACATATACTTTAGTCAGAGTTCAGACCCATTTGTAGAGTGACATTATCCAGGAAGGTAGATTCTCTTCATTCAGTCATTCTCCTTCTCTCTGGGTAACAGAACCCTCCCTGTGTTTGGTTTACAATACAACTACTTGGGATGAAACATGGTAGGTCAAAGTCCGTTTGGCAACACTATTAGTGTTTACTAGTGCTTTGTTTGGAGTAGGCATGTGACTCAGTCTTGGAAGATGAAACATAAAGGGACATGTTCAGGGAGATTTCTAAGAAGCATTATACTTCTTTTATAAAGACAAACTTATAGAAAGGAAAATGCATGTTTGTTCCTTCTCCATTCTTTCATGCTTGGGACTTAGTTATGTGAAGGTGTATTTTGCATCTTTGGCAGTCATCTTTTTTTTTTTTTTTTTTAATCACCAGAAGGCATATGCACTCAGCAGAGGGAAGGAGGGGGAGAGTGAAGGAGATAGAGAGAAAGAATCACCAAATGGGACATGGTCAGGCTGTAATCTTATCTCCTCTATTTCTCCTTCTCATCAGGATCTTAGGTAGGTCTGCACAGGAACCTGGTGTGTTTTTCAGGCTGCAGGGGCTAAGATCTGAACTGCAGTCAGTTATATTGCATTCAACTCCTTATGCACAGGGTTTAACCACTGTGCTATAGGGCCAGCCAGGCAATCATCTTTTGATCATAGAGGCAAGCCCAAAAGATTCATAATGATATCAACCTAACATTCTGTCACTGTTCTTCTGTTGGCCTGACCATCACTTACTTACCTCCATCTTTCTTGTACTATGATAAAACATGTCTTTATGGTTTATGCCACTACTAATTGTATATTCTGATACTTGCTGCCAGAATATCCTAACTGATTTATTCAAGTTTTAAATCTATTCTAATAATGAGATCAATTAAATTAGTGAAATTTTGTTTGGAGCGAAGAGTTCTCTCAAGTGACTGGAGTCATGATTGAAATTATAGTGTTACCTAGACAGGGACTAATGTAACTTGGTATTGCATAATCTGGGCAATAGCCATTTAGATTTAAATTTGTATGAGAAAGGTACCCGCTTGGAGAGCAGAGTAAATTGAACCATGAAAAATCAATTTAATTTTCCTATCTGATTAAGGAGTGAATGTGTGTATATGCATGTTGATGTGTATTTGTGTATGTTCTGTATGAACAAAGAAAGCATACCCTTCACTTAACTAGATATTGTTCAGAATATATTACACTAGGAATTAAGGAGGAAAATGCTTTAGACCTGTCAGTAATGATATTACAAATTTATGCTCTAAAATTCATGTTCTTGAATTTCATTAAGAACCCCCATACCCTCACATTATTCTCTCCATGCTTGTTTCAGAATGAATAGACAATGTTATTGTGATGCTATTTTATCCTGTTTCTTTATTTTGACTTCCTAGCTTATAAATTTTATTTTCACCATCATTTAGGAAATTTCTTAGGGCTCTCAAATACAGAATAATACTCTTTAAGACTTTTATTGAATCTACATTAGCTATGTTAAGTATTGAAGCTCTCTATAAACTAACACTCATTTAATTTGGTTGGATATTTTAGGAAGCCTTTCAAATAACTTAATTGTGATGATGTTTTTCTGATTTGTGTGCATATCCTACACACACACACACACACACACACACACACACTATATATATAGCATATTCAATAAACATTGCATGCTCTCTTCCATCTCTGACTTGTATTCAGTTCTGTTACTGGTTAGCTCCTCTGTGGAATTTCCTGCAATATTCTATCTGTTCTTTATTGCAAACTTTTAACTTCCTGGCACAGGGCTATACCTTTCTGCATTTGTGAGGAGACAACACCTTGCCCTTTGCCAAGTTACTTTAATATAACAAATTAATAGAAAACTTCTTCACCTTAACGGACAAAGGGAGCCCAGCCTCATGGCACAATGTATAGCATACTGAACTGCAGTGTTGGAAACATCATATCCGACATGAGTTCAGATCCCTGGGTCAGCCTAAAAACATGCCAAGCATGTGTGCTCATGCCCCAGATCTGGATGAGTGGGAGGGCTAGGGAAATGGGATGGTAGTACGATATGACCCTATCAAGGGTGTGCTTCTTTCTCTCTCTCATGGAGACATGTGAATTCTCTATCATGGATAAAAATCAGTAACATCAATTTCTTTTTTAATTTTTAATTTTAATTTTTTTTTGTAGAGTTTTTTGCTGTAGGGAGTGTGCACTCAACAGAAAGACAGACAGAGACAGAGAGATAGAAAGTGAGAAATCACTCCTCAGGGGGGATGGCTATGCCGCAATTCCTTCTCCTTTCTCCTCTCAGGATCCTAGGCACACACGCACACGTGCCCGGCATGAGTTTAAGCCACGGGGTCTGGGACTTGAACTGCGGTCAGCTACATGGGAGTTCAGCGACATACCCATTATGCTAACTGCTGGTCCCTCTTTTTTATTTTTTAAAGGACTCTTAAAAAATATAGAGCACATTTACTCACATACAAAGAGAGAAACAGGCATCCTTAGCAGGGTCTGGTTATGAAGTGATTTCCTTCCTCTAGTCCTCTGGCCCATCTGATCTCGGACACTTGCACACATGCCTAATATGTTCAGGCTGACTGGGGTGGGGATTTGAATAGGGATTGCCAAATGGGATATAGCTTCTCTTGAGCAGTGCCTTACCATTGTGCCTCAAAGTTAGCCCCAAAGGGATACATTTTCTATAATGAAATTTGAACATATACAGAGTACTTTATAGTATAAAGTATATTTATATTTATTTTGTCCTTATAAAAACTCATAAGGTCAATAAAATATTGCTTTATTTTATCCATTTCATATTTTAAAAATAGGGGCTCAGAAAATTCAGGTCCCTCTCTTTTGAGGAAACGATTTCTGGCTCTAAATCTATCTCCTAACTCTTAAGTAGGACATTAGAACTGTTTGGAGGATATTGCCACTTTCTGTTAATAATTTAGAAACGAGTCATTTCTGAAATAGAATTTTTGTCTGATGCAGCCAACTAGACCACCTTACATATGACATTCTCCATGAAATCAGTGGGCCTGTTTCAAAATTTTTCTGTCAATTTTTCTTAAAAATGTATAGAAAATATTCACCACATATTGGGATTACATAGAAATATTTTGGGAATGTCTGAATGCTGTGAATAAAACCAGCATGATATGCAACCACAAAGCCTCTTGGTATAATGTGTCATATGTCAATGTCAATTGAAGATTATAACACACAATCTAAACATGTGAAGGCATCCTGGTAAATTTATGGTGCTATCTTTTTTTGCCTATATTCTCAGCTGATAAGAGAATTAATGCATATTGACTGTCAGGCTTTATTGGTGGTCCACATATGTGTAGCCTTCATTCTATTTTAATTAACCTCAAGACTATAGTTTACAATGCAGAGCTGTGCTCCCCTAATTATTTTCATAAAACTAGTGATCTTGTAAGCCAACCGAGGTCATGGCTAAATCTCACACAAATAAGCTTGGATACTAAGAAACTTAAACTACTGTTTTTGTTTTGTTTTGAAAGATGCTTATGTCTTTTGATTTTTGATGAATGGTGTTATAGTTAACATTAAAAACATCTCAGGGGCTAATTCTTTTTCTATTACTGCCTATCAATCTATCTGTATACTTTTTAGAGCACATTAAAGAAAATATGCCCTAAGGCAATATTTTTCATCTTCATAATGTATGTGAAAAATTGTTCTTGTTTTATCCTCTAAGGATAGTTAAAACTGGGAATTGAATTCACAGTTACCCACATGCTGGCCTTGACAGAGAAAGACCCAA